TGCTTCCATTGTGTTTCAGTGCTCTGTGTAGTGCACTTTCTTGTGGTAGCCTTGATACAGGTCCGAACCAATGAAGCTGTTATCTTCTGGTAAAGTTTAGCAATGGTTCAGTCCCAACTGGTTTCCTGATATGGTCATTTATTACTGTTTCTCATTATACACCAGTCAGAACGTGATGGACAACGTTTTCAGAACAAAAAAACAAAACAAAAAAAAGACATCATCCACTTTTACTTCTAAATTTCCTAACTGCCATTTTAGGCAGTGCAATTTCAACAAGTACTTTTTAAAAATCTCACCAGACTAAACCTGATGCTTTCATCTGTTATTAAATGCAGTCATTGGCTTCAGTGGATCTAGTTTTGTCTTTTATTATGTTGTATGCTCTCTTAGACGTTTATTTAATTGCATTTTGATGTTATCTTCATGCTTGTATTGTTGGTTACCCTTGGTTCGTTTGCCTTCAAGTAATCCCTTCAATGTCGTTTTTATAATAACCCTCTTTACTATTCCAGCATCTCCGAAATTTCTACATTTAATAGTACTGTGTCTTTGAAATTCAATTTGTTCTTTTCAATCCCTCTATCTCTAGCGAACTTTATACTTTTTAAAACATTGAAATATTTCTCTTGCCTCTTATTTATTCCTGTTAACAACTACACTCTCTTTCCAATTATTTCTAAAACTCTGCATTTTAGTGTTTGTATCTCCATTAAATATTTTATATTCTTCTGTATACCCAAATCTTCTGAGCTTCACTATAAATTTTCTAATGTCCTTTTCTTTGTGCCATTTTCTGCACCATTTAGGAGGGTTGAGTATAGATAACATTTAAATATTCTCACTTTTACTGTGCCAGACATACACTTACATAATAATCCTAAAACAAAAAAGATAATTATTCAAACCATAGTGCTACTTTCATAATTCACATATGAAATTGTGTTCTTTGGTCGTAGATATTTTGTGAAACTGAATTTTGGTCCGTAAAATGTGTTCTATCCATCAATTTATCATTCTGTATGCTGGAATTCACATCTTGCAGAACAAAATGCACCTACTGAATAACTGTTGAGTAAACACATTTTCTGGAGTCACAGTAGACTAGTGGCTTGCCTGTCTGTTTAAAGGTCTTGCTTGGATTTGAATCCACATCTAGTTAGATTTTGTACACATCTGACCTCGCTCCTAGCTTGATCCCCACATAAGATAGCTATCAGGTGGCCACACCACCATGGTCCCATCATGCCACTGGCGCACTATAATTCTGGTGCAAGACATATTTGTCTTGAGATCAGTTGGCGCCTGATGAGTGAAATGGTCAACATCTTACAGGTCTCTTTTACTTCTTTTGACATTTTTGGTACCAACTGTAGGCTGTGCTTCCCTAAAGTCCCTTGGTCAATTCTTAAAAAAAAAAATGGGGTTTGAACTCAAACCTCTGCACCAGCAGCAAGCTCTTAGCTAATGTGCGAATGTGGCATTCTCTTCTCCAGAACAGATACATAATTCCAATGGTGCTATGGTTAGTTGCGTATCCTTTACAAGATGTTGCAGAACATACCCCAGCATTGTTTTTTTGCTGTTGTGGTTTTTTCAGGCAACCTTACATTCAGTAGTCTGCCACTGCTTCTGAACGGCCAGCTCTCAGTACCACTGTCAAAACCAACGCAAGACAAATCGTCCGCAGCAGGGATCGAACCCGGCACCCTGGCATTACGGAGCGCGTTGGCAACGCCTAAGCCACAAACGCTGACAATGGTGCTATACTTGGCATTAAATGTATACTTACCCAAGCCTGAGGTTTACTGAAGAAGACAACCATGTCTGAACAGACTACTTTTTGTAAAGAAGACTAGTTTAGAACAACCTTAATCAGAATCATTCAGCTCATGTATGAGACCAAAGGCATAGAGAAAGGTTCAAGAGAATTAGTAAATGTAGCTAGCAGATCAATCTTATTTTTAAAAAATGTTTATAGAATGACTTAAATAAAAACAACCAGTCTAAATTAGAAAACCTTATACAGAATGTTGATAATGGAAGCTGCCTTATGCACGTAATGTGTGTGTATGCTTGTCGGGCCATTACCTGTTTCACAGGGGACCATATTAAGCACTTTATTTGGTTTTCACTGGAACAGGAAAATAGCCATTAATGAACATATGATTAGTTGTTGTGAAGGTTGAACCATTTATGACTAACACAGAAAAAAAACCCAGTAGGCTAAATAAAGATGAGACCAAATAAACACAAAAAATGTGCACATATTAGAATGCTAATGAAGAATCAGTGAAAATGGAAACAATAGCAGTCCTAATAAGACAACTAGTTACCCACAGTTTGTATGTCAGACAAAACCATAAACACCTGAGCACATTCTGCAGGTCTGCCCATTCTACTTGCTATGAGGTGAAACCTGGCTTCGACAGCAAAGCAAGCACAGCAGGGTATGGGCAACCATGGTGGACCTGCAACTGACATGCAAATTCATACAGGCAGCCCATCAGATGGTCTGACCTAGCATAAAACACTGAGATCCCAGAAGAAGATATAGACAACTCAATTAGAATAATTTATTCTAGAAATATGACTACTGAAAATTCAGGTAATCAGTTAAGGACAAAAAAAGTCTTATGCAGACAGAAAGCATACAGGTTGATATTTTGAGACAATTACGTCCTCATGTGTAGAAAACTCATTAGTAAATATAAAAACATATAGAAACTCTTTCCTTTATTAATATCCTACCCCAAACGGAAATCTACAGGTCATGGGACAGTCTAATATTTCAAAGGGTGGCGGATAGGCTGCATGCAGTTGTGGCACTGCATCCATGAGACCTAGGCTGCATTCTCTCGTAGGATATAGATGGGTTGGGGTTAGGGCCAGTTCTAGATGTTTTGGGGTCATTAAAAGCATCACAAAGCCGCTAAACCCAGTCTTATGACTCTTAAAAAAGTTGGACTGTCCTGTGACGTCTTCTGGGGTAGGATAATAATAAAGAACCAGAAACTCTTAAACAGAAACTCACAATCAATATAAATACATTACCAGTCTAACAGAGAATACCCTTTACAGAATCAGTTAGCGTAGATGCTTTACCAGTCTTAGGTAGAAAACACATAGAAACAAAGTTAATGAAGAGATTAGAAAGTTCACACATAGTAAACCTAGAGACGATATCAGTCATATGGAAAACACATCGAACTGACTAATCCTTGTAAGAATTTGGCGAGCCTAATGTTAAATACACTCACAGAACTCATTTACATAGATACACGAGCAAACTTATACAGAAATCAACAGCTAATATAAATCATCAGGCAATGTAAATCCAGTGACATGTCAACACAAGACTACCAACATGTCAACACAAGAGTACCAACATGTCAACACAAGAGCACCAACATGTCAACACAAGGGTACCAACATATCAACACAAGAGTACCAACATGTAAACACAAGAGTACCAACATGTCAACACAAGAGTACCAACATGTCAACACAAGAGTACCAACATGTCAACACAAGGGTACTAATATGTCAACACAAGAGTACCAACATATCAACACAAGGGTACCAACATGTCAACACAAGAGTACCAACATGTCAACACAAGAGTACCAACATGTCAACACAGGAGTACCAACATGTCAACACAAGGGTACCAACATGTCAACACAAGATTACCAATATGTCAACACAAGAGTACCAACATGTCAACACAAGAGTACCAACATGTCAACACAAGAGTACCAACATGTCAACACAAGAGTACCAACAGGTCAACACAAGAGTACCAACATGTCAACACAAGAGTACCAACATGTCAACTCAAGAGTACCAACATGTCAACACAAGGGTACCAACATGTCAACACAAGGGTACCAACATGTCAACACAAGAGTACCAACATGTCAACACAAGAGTACCAACATGTCAACACAAGAGTACCAACATGTCAACACAAGAGTACCAACATGTCAACACAAGAGTACCAACATGTCAACACAAGAGTACCAACATGTCAACACAAGAGTACCAACATGTCAACACAAGAGTACCAACATGTCAACTCAAGAGTACCAACATGTCAACACAAGGGTACCAACATGTCAACACAAGGGTACCAACATGTCAACACAAGAGTACCAACATGTCAACACAAGAGTACCAACATGTCAACACAAGAGTACATTTGTTAAATGTGCAATTAAAGTTGCTCTTTTAAATTATCTCTTTCCGTGTGTAATTTCCTGGGCTCCATTGTAGGGAAAACAAAAACAGACCCAACAAGAATGTCGCAAGTGTCAAATAATCTGGGAGCTTCCTTTAAAGTCCCTAAAACTCCCCCCCCCCCCCCCCCCCCCCGCCACAACCAACAATTATTTTCCTTACTACTTTATATCATCAATGAATATGTGGGTTAGTTAGACGTTAGTTTCCCCAGACCCCGCCGATATACACAATAGCTCACTTCTGACTGGCAGTTCCTGAGTCCCGAGACCTTCGCACACGGTCAGGTGGGTGTTCCGCAATGCCGTTGATATCACATGTTGTAATTTCAGCACGCCAACGCTGTTAACAATCCAAAAACTGGAGAAACTGGTTCTAACACAACACCCCTAAAGGGTGCTGCAACCTATGTCACAGCCATTCTCTTTCTCAGAATGAAAACGTAAATGCAAGACAATAAAAAGTGACCTACTCTCTTTGGGGAGACCAACGTCGAACTAACCAATATGTTTTCCGATGGTCTTCGGTAACCCTTGTGAAATGGTAGTTGGACCGTTAAAAAAGGGGGTCGCGACCCACAGGGTGAGAACCGCTGTTTTATGTTAACAAATAATTACATAACACTGTAACTTCACAAGATATTTACATCACATAGTAAAATATATTTATGTCACAAATGATATGATCTGTTTGTTAAAGGGGAGCTTGAAATTTACAAAGTAACTTGACAAATCCGCTAACAATGAACACGCCCAACAGGGTCATACTTTAGAAAGTCGCTCGAGTATGCCCCCAAGCTCGTACCAATCGAAGCTGGACAGGTCACGAACATCCCGACCTTCTGCGGTCTGCAGGGAGATAATGTCACTGTAGCCGCTCTCGCCAGCGTGGTTATGGGCCTTGACACGGGCGTTGTAGATACTGTTGAAGTGGAGACCGTCTACAGTGCAGAGGACTTCACGGCCGACGTAGACCACCTGTGGAAAGTAATAGTTATGTTTAGTTAGGAATCGACCTAATAACGAGAATAATCGTTGATGAGTTGTTTCAAGAACAGACATAACAGCACTAGGGAAATTTCCATAGGCGCTCTGTCCCCATCTTCAGTAGCCAGCGCAACGTGACACTTCCGATGGCGTCAGTAGCAATCTGACTGTATGTAATATAATAATAACTCAAACGGTCTGTCCACAGTGCCACTTAAAAAATGGAGATTAATAAACGACAAGGATAATAGAATAAGTGACCGCTGCGAAGAAAGTTGCAAGGACATATGACAAAGAATTAACATGTCAACGACTAGTCTCTAACCGCAAAATGTGCTGTGCTGTGCTGTTGGTTGCATTAACAGCAATTGTTAGTTTAATTTGGAAATCCTAGAAACGTCTTAACTGGTTCGTCTCGAGCTGCAAATGTGGCAATGTGTAGATACTAGTCGATTTTGTAGCACTTGGCTATTCAACTGGTGGTCCGAGGATCAAATCCGGCCCGAAGAGGCATAGCAAGTGGCCTGCGGATCACCTACCGGTTGCATTGTGTTAATGATCTTTCTATGCTGGGGGTCGTGGTTATGGCCCATGATATTCAACATTTACATCATTAAGGACTTAGTCTACCCTTGTCTCGAACTGACGATCTTTTCTGATACAAATGATATTCTATGCCTCGATATCAAACTGTCTAATAGCGTTTACAAATTCGTTTGTTTTCCATACTTTCCTGGTAATTACCTATTTTAGGAACGTGATTTTTTTTTCATGGCCTTATTTTCGTCTTGACGTTAATGCTTTATAAATACATGCTATTAAAATGTCCATTTGTTTTGAAACATGTTATCTTTGTTATTTTTATCCCTTGTATAATGTTAGTTAGGTAACAAAACACATTTTACAATTCCGACGTGAAATGCCCTAACCCTAACCACATAAATCAGACCTTTACCAACTTGCCACGAAACTTGGAAACGACCCAACATACTAGGTTTATAGTGACTCTTATCGTGCAACAGTCGTGGTCTTGTTCAGAATTTATGTAAAACACAAGAAACACGTATTTTTGTGAAATGTCGATTGGCTACATTTGAACATTGTACTGTACAATTCTTCTTAAAGGGCAATCCAGCAAGGATCATCGTATATTTATATACCTCGAATAAGCGAAAATTCATGTTAATTACTTGTTACGAGGGCGAAAAATTTGACATAACACTGAGAATAAAAAACAAATTAATATATAATTTCACCAATTCATATTCCACTAAAAATGAGATAAAGTTTCCAAACATCGATGCGAATTTGTTAATGCACTGTAGTATCTTCTCTCCTCGTCCCTCTCTTCCCCTACAATTTTCAAGACATACTACAGTTTTCCCCTTCTAATGAAGAAAACGGTTTAACGAAGACAAAAACAAACACTTTTCTGCTATCGACAGTATCCTGTAACTACCAAGAGACTAGTCTGTAACCAACGCCACGAATCAATGCAGGTAAATATACGGCTCACAGCTGTCTAGTTTGACCAAGCAGACGATATATTTGTACAATCAAGAAGGTGGTTTTCTAATCAGACTGGCGCAGATTAACAAATAAAATAATCGGGAACTAATGATCCTGGGAATCACTAAATGGATCAGTAATCACAGTTTTTAACAAAGCTAGTGTCTGGCTGAATAACGGTGACTTTGTGGTTCTTATCTATGGTCGTGTCCAACTCTTTCTATTCAATGCCACTCACTCTACGGTCCAATCGCTCTGTTGCGCGCAGCCCTATCTGGATGGGAGGGGTGGGGTGTGGGAGGGGTGGGGTGTGGGTGGGGTGTGGGTGGAGGAAACAGTAAACTTAATAAAGGAAACTGTTTAAAACTTTAAAGTACAAGTGCGTCATGGGCGTTTTACGCACAGGTAACCATCTCCTGCATGTCTTCTGTGAGTTGCGGATTTTTCATTGTGTATGGAATAGACTGTCACCCCCCCCCCCCTTTTTCCCCCCCCCCTCTAAAAAAAAAAAATTTGCAAATAAAGTGCTTTTCCTTAGTTCAGGAATTCAGAGGTTCGTCGGTAAAGTTACGGAGTTCCTGATTTGTACCGCGCTCTTGGCAGGCGGCTAGCCGATCCACGGGATCAGACCGAACGATACAGGATAATCTAGGCACAATGTTGTCGATTCTCTGGACATGTAACTGTAATCAAACATAGGTGTGTAGTTTTGTGTGCGCGGATGTGTGGTCTTCTTCTTCTTCTTCTTCTTCTTCTTGGTGTTCACCAGCTGCGGCAGAAAATTCCAGTTATTGGTCCACTTCTGGACTTTAGTAGTTTTATTCCAGAACTTGAGGTCCGTGTGCACATCCGTTGTCCTTTTTTGTATGCAGACTGTTGGTTCTTTGCTTATCATGCTGATGCACTCATACTCAGAAACAAACACCCATAAGCAGTCTACTTTACGACATGCTTGTTACGGAGGCGCAGTGCCCCAGTAATGGGATCACAGACACAGGAAATATGTGCTCCTAATTTAGATTACGTTCCTGATCTGCTTTCGAAAGTGCAAGTCACAAAAATATTTCATTCTTTGAGCTAATATCCGGCCATTGATAAAATGATGACACGGCAAGAAGGCACGTCAGGGGCTTGCCCTTGTTGGGGGAACCTGTGTCAACGTCACTATTGTACGGAAATTACTTGCTCAATACATCAATATGATTAATCGTTATCGGCGCCCCGATCGGGCTCAGGGTGGCCGACTCAAAGGGTAGAATTTCCTAAAGACAAAATGCTCTGTTTCACACCGGTAATGATATCGATTAATGGGCCATTTCAGAATCTGCGCTATTGTATTAGATAATATCTCAGCTGTATGCATAGTATTAAATGGAGTAATCACTGTTGCAGTTGCAATATACATATATACATGCGTAGACAGATTGATAGACAGACAGACAGACAGACATACACACAGACAGACAGACTGATTTTTTTACGGAGGGACGAACGAGTGGACTGACGGAACGACCGACTGATCGATCGACAGACAGAAAAACAGACAGGCAGACAACTAGAGAGATTAACAGACAGACAAACCGATAAATAGACAGACAGACAGAGGGACGGGCAGGCGGACGGACAGATGGACAGACAGACAGACAGACAGGGAGGGACAGACAGACAGACAGACAGACAGACAGACAGACAGACAGACAGACAGACAGACAGACAGACAGACAGACAGACAGACAGAGAGACAGACAGACAGACAGACAGACAGACAGACAGACAGACAGACAGACAGACAGACAGACAGACAGACAGACAGACAGACAGACAGACAGACAGACAGACAGACAGACAGACAGACAGACAGACAGACAGACAGACAGACAGACAGACAGACAGACAGACAGACAGACAGATAGATAGATAGATAGATAGATAGATAGATAGATAGATAGATAGATAGATAGATAGATAGATAGATAGATAGATAGATAGATAGATAGATAGATAGATAGATAGATAGATAGATAGATAGATAGATAGATAGATAGATAGATAGATAGATAGATAGTTAGATAGATAGATAGACAAACGGACGGAGTTACTGACCGACTGATCGAGAGACAGACAAACCGGTTGTTTGACTGACTGACAGACAGTTACGTTACACAAATAGAAGCTCACATTCACACGACAGACAGGCAGTTAAACAGGGAGACAAACATACAGACATTCTCTAATGACAAAAAGTAACTAAAATTTGAACTGAAATGTTGAGAATAACAAGAAATGAGACAATTGTAATCGAGTGCAAAAGTATATCATGCTCACAGGTCAAAATATAGCACTTTATATGGTGTCTCGTTAGGTTTAATCCTAGATAGGTAATTTGTTTTTCTTGACAACTGTTGTGTATTTCATTGTTACCCATCAAACCATCCTTTCCATGCTGGGTCCTTCTCAGTTCATCCTCCAGCGTGCAGAGACTGACAGCAGAAATCCTCTATGAATGAATTTTTCTTCTTTGGCTTTCCACATGACGTCCTTGTCTGTCTCACCCTTTCCACATGACGTCCTTGTCTGTCTCACCCTTTCCACATGACGTCCTTGTCTGTCTCACCCTTCCCACATGACGTCCTTGTCTGTCTCACCCTTCCCACATGACGTCCTTGTCTGTCTCACCCTTCCCACATGACGTCCTTGTCTGTCTCACCCTTTCCACATGACGTCCTTGTCTGTCTCACCCTTTCCACATGACGTCCTTGTCTGTCTCACCCTTTCCACATGACGGCCTTGTCTGTCTCACCCTTCCCACACGACGTCCTTGTCTGTCTCACCCTTTCTACATGACGTCCTTGTCTGTTTCACCCTTTCCACATGACGTCCTTGTTTGTCTCACCCTTTCCACATGACGTCCTTGTCTGTCTCACCCTTTCCACATGACGTCCTTGTCTGTCTCACCCTTTCCACATGACGTCCTTGTCTGTCTCACCCTTTCTACTTTTTGGTTCTTGCACCCTAGTCACGGTTACAGATTCAGCTATCACGTGATCATGCAAACGTCTTCCTTCTCGTAGAACATTCAGAGTATCAGCCCGGCCCATTGCCTGTCCGTCCTCCACGGTGGCCGTGTCCGCAAGCATGACAACTTGTTCAGTTCCTTTTACACCTCACCGTTAACATTCTCAAACTTATGCCCAGGGAGAGGGGAAAAAACGACACGGATCATTCATAATCCAAGTAATCGATCCGTAAGTGCTTTCTGGTCTTTCAGCAAAGTTTGCAGTCGGAGAACTTGCGTCCTTCTTGCAAACACATTAGAACCATATCTGCCGAAAGCGTACATTTTTCAGAAACACCAGCTGCTCAATCAAAAGCTACTGCTCGATGCTGAAACTTAATGTGAAATCGATATCGGAAATCTGAAAAGTATTGCTGATCATGCATTACTTGATTTAAAAATGCTGACAGGGTACCTTCATTACTTC